CCCTTTGGTCTGTCCACTGCCCCCAGGGTGTTTACAAAATGTTTGTCGGTGGTAGCAGCCTACCTCAGACGGCGGGGAGTCCAGATATTTCCCTATTTGGACGATTGGCTTGTCAAAGGCACCTTCCTGTCGCAGGTGAGGGATCACATGGCACTCCTCCTGTCCACATGCACCGCCTTGGGCCTGTTGATAAACAACACCAAGTCCACGTTAGTTCTGGTCCAACGCATAGAGTTTATCAGGCACTCCTGGATGCAGCGTTGGCCAGGTCCTCTTTCCTGCCAGACAGATTCGAGACCCTGAAAGGTCTCATCAACTTGGTCACAAGGTTCCTGGTGACGACAGCCAGGGTTTGCCTGCAGCTCTTGGGTCACATGTTGGCATGCACGCATGTGGTCTGTCATGCCAGACTCGGGATGAGGCCCCTCCGGCTCTGGTTGGCCTCGAAGTTCTCCCAGGCCACAGACAGGATGGACAAGGTCCTCACCATGCCAGACTCTGTGATCACCTCCCTACGGTGGTGATCTGCCCCAAACAACATGCTCCAAGGGGTCCCGTTCAGGGACAGGGCCCCGTCATTGGAGCTGGTGTCCGATGCGTCAGACCTGGGTTGGAGGGCCCATGTGGGGAACTTTCAGACTGAATGCCTGTGGTCGGCTCAAGATCTGACCCTACATATAAACGTCGAGGAGCTCAGGGCAGTACGGCTGGCATGCAAGGCCTTCCGCTTGCACCTAGAGGTCAAGATAGTCGGGGTCCTCACGGACAGCACGGCCTCTATGTTCTATATCAACAGGCGAGGCGGGGCCCGATCCTCTGCCACGAAGACCTCAAGCTATGGGACTTCTGTGTAGCCCACGACATCCACCTGAAGGTCTTCCACCTACCAGGCGCCCAGAACAAGAGGGCGAATCGCTTGAGCAGGGACTTTTGCTCTCAGCACAAGTGGTCCCTCCACCCGGAAATGGCTCACCGGCTCTGCCGAAGGTGGGGAACTCCCCAGGTGGACCTATTTGTGACTCGGCAGAACCAGTGATGCCCCCAGTTCTGCTCTAGGGGGTGCCTGGGGAGGGGTGCTATCTCCAATGCCTTTATCCTGTCCTGGTCAGGCCGGCTTCTCTGCACCTTTCCCCCATTCCCTCCAGTCAGCAGAGTCCTGGAAAAGATAAAGACGGACAAGGCCCGGGTCCTTCTGATTGCCCCGGCATGACCCAGGCAGCATTGGTATGGGACCCTCAAGGCCCTGGCGGTAGCTCCGCCGTGGCCGTTGCCGCTTGCCTGCTCTCTCAGGACCAGGGCTGCCTCCTCCATCCCAACCTAGCGGCTCTTCACCTCATGGCTGTGACTGCTCACTGGTTAGGTGGAGAGGAAAGGTCGTGCTCAGAACAGGTTCAGCGCGTCCTCCTCGAAAGTAGACAGCTCTCCTCGCTGCGCTTATTTGGCGAAGTAGTCCCGATTTTCTAGGTGGGTGGCGGACCAGGGTGCCTCCCCTGTGGCCGCCCCGATCCAGTTTATCCTTGATTACCTTCTCCTCCTGAGGGCTCAGGGCCTGGTGCCCTCGTCAGTCAAGGTGCACCTGGCAGCCATATCTTCCTTCCATCTGCCGGTGCAAAGGCACACGGTATTTTCCCATGCAATGACTGGCCGGTTCCTTAAGGGTTTGGACTGTCTTTTTCCATATTCTAGGGCCCCCGCCCCCCCGGTCCCACAGTGGGACCTAAACCTGGCATTGGCTCGTCTCACGGGGGCCCCCATTTGAACCACTGGCCACGTGCTCCTGGTCTCACCTCTCATGGAAGGTGGCCTTCCTGGTTGCAATCACGTCGGTCAGGTGAGTCTCGGAGCTCAGGGCCCTGACCTCCAAGCCGCCATACACTGTCTTCTATGAGGACAAGGTCCAGCTCCGCGCACACCCTGCGTTCCTCTCGAAGGTGGTCTCCACCTACCACATGGGTCAGGACATTTTTTCTACCCATCCTCTGCCCCAAGCCTCTCGCACCCAGTGAGGAGCGCCATCTCCACACGCTCTGTGTGCGGTGGGCTCTGGTTTTCTACCTCTAGTGGACCAAGCCATTCAGAAGGTTCTTGCAGCTGTTCGTTGCCTTGGCTGAGTGCGCAAGGGGCCAGCCGATTTCCACTCAACGGCTTTCCAATCGGATCACTTTGTGCATCCGTTTCGAGCTGGCGGGTGTCCCCCCCGCCATCCATTGTGAGGGCACACTTGACTTGGGCGCAGGCCTCGTCGGCTGCCTTCGTGGCCCACATCCCCATCTAGGACATTTGTAGGGCCACCACATGGTCTTCGGTTCACACGTTTACCTCACACTATGCTATCATCCCCCAAACCAGGGATGATGCCGGGTTTGGCAGGGCTGTCCTCCGTCCTGGGAACTTGTGATGCCTACCCACCTCCAACAGATATAGCTTGGAATCACCTATTGTGGAATACACGTGAGCAATCACTCGAAGAAAAGACAATTACCTTTTCCATAACTGGTGTTCTTCGAGATATGTTGCTCATGTCTATTCCACATCCCACCCTCCTTCGCCTCTGTCGGAGTTGTCCGGCAAGAAGGAACTGAGGGTGGGGGGAGCGGGCAGCTCCCCTTATACTGCGCCAGGCAGGCACCACTCCAGGGGTTGTGGGAGGCGCCTCCCCCCCCCCCACTGCTAGGGGGGAAAACTTCTGGCACCGGTGCACGTGGCGAGCACGCACACCTATTGTGGAATAGACATGAGCAACACATCTCGAACACCAGTTACGGAAAAGGTCTTTTGTGCCAGGTGCTGTACCCGCATGAAGCAAGAGACAGTCCCTTCTCCAAAGAGATTATAGCCTAAGTAGGCAATGCAGGCACACAAGGTCAGAGGAAAGAAGGATTGTCCTCTCAGTGTTACAGGTGGGCAACTGAGGCATGGGGTGGTTAAGTGACTAGCCCAAGGTCACCCAGGCAGACTGAGTCAGAGCCAGGAACAACACCCTCCAGCCCTTAGCTCATCCATTTTTTTACAGTGTTGCTGCAGTAATTTTTCAGAGAGTCCCAGATATCCAGCATGTCAAGCAGTGTGGTTGTGGTGCTCTACTCTGTTTTGGCCAGGTGCACTGTCTTTCTGCCCTACTCTGGTGTCGTCTTTGTATTTCTCTCTCTGTCCATCCTTCCCCTCTCTCCAGCTTTTCATGTGAGTCTCTGGATTTTATTTTTTTTTAGCGCTGGAATTAAATCCAGCGCCATCTGCAGAACTCACTAGGTTCCTTATTTGCATTAGATTAGCATATTTTTGCTGAGGAATGATCAGACCTCTGAATGGCTGACTCTGCTAATCCACATCTGAATAAGGGCAGGGGTAATTCCACTCCCCTAAATATCCCTTGGTAATCTTCTTAGTTAGTATCAGGCTCTGCTCTTGGCAGGCTAATTGCATTCCTGGATAACGAGATTTGTGTTACACGGGGCTGGCAGCGGGGCTTTTTAAAGCGATATCGCTTCTACCAGAAGGATGGGGAGGTGCACTGAAGCATGGAGCAAGGCTAGTGAGGAAATCATGGCTTCCCAGGAGAAGGTGCTTTAGAAGGTGTTGCCAGTTTCTGGAGTTGGAACGGGTAGGTCATTTAGATCCAGCCTGGTGCTATTGCTGTGTTCTAAAGGCAGCGTTGCCTGTGGCCCCGAAGCACACTGGTGTCAGCAGGTGTCAGGGCTTTTGCCAAGGCCGCTGAATTCTTGGGCCAGGCAGGATCTGGGGAGCTAAGTGCAATTCCTTTGTTCAAATATACTTTAAAAACCTTCGTTTTCTCCAGGTGCTTGTAGCGTGAGGGGGAAGGGAAATAGTATGAACCTGGCTGATGCTGTCGGAGCCGAAGTCTACGGGCACATAAATTATTAACCCCTGTCCATTCTCGACACTTTGCCCGGGGCTGTCTAAATGTGAAATCGCATCAGGCTTTTTCTTGTTCACTCCCCATCTCCTGTAGGAGAATTCCAGTTTATGGGGGGAAGTTTAAATTCAGCTTCCTTTTGAATCTCACGCTTTCAAACAAAGGTTGCCAAATACTGGCTGCGGTAAATTTTGAATTTGATAATTATAACAAGGGGCCAGGCTCTCTCCTCGGCTGCAGGCGAAGGACTCCCACATCAGAATAATGCTCTGTACACAGACTGGGAAGGGTGCAGCAAGACATACTCTGCTGAAGGGCAGATTTTCACAGAAGAGAGGGAGGTAATTTCAGGAATTGGGGACTTTGCAAATTGAAACTGTACAAGTTTCACCCAGAATCCCTGATGGGGGCAGCTGGCGTGTGAATGGCCTACTGTTCACTAGTATGTGCTGCCTGAGAGATTACTTTCCCCGACTTTGTCACTGGTTTTAAAAGGAACCATAATGTTCATGCAATGTGATAGTCGTGTGAAGGGAATCAGTCCACACGGCGGGTATGGCAAGCTCCCCAGCAGTGCTCCTCCATGAAGCTCCACGCTGCTTTGGAGGGATCCCCTCTGCCAATCAATGGGCAGGCCATTTCTCAGGCCTCTTCAGGCCAGCTAGGAACTAGCTAGAGCCCAATAGTTCATTGCACTCGCTGAACAGCCATTAAACGGGACCTTTTGGTCCCTGCCAGCCTAGGCTGGAGGTTAGCCAGTAGCATCAGCTTAAAAGCTCCATGTCCCATTTTCACACCCCTGTAGACCCCCAGTGCCCTGAAGAGACTATTCTGTGGCATGAGCATCATAACAGGTGGGCAGAGTAGCTGGATGCTAGACACACAGTCTCCCCGCCTACCTGCTCCTTTTGACTTCTTGTTAAACCAGTGCACGTGTGGGGGTTTTCTTGTTCACCAGACTAGCTAGTAGCTCAGTACTAAATGCACCACTCCCCAAGCTGCATTGTTGGGTGAGGAAGGTTTGTCAGCGCTGGTGTTTACTGTTCCACTGGTAGACCCGTTGCATGAAGGAGGCTCGGTCTCTCCCCAGTTTATAATGTTTTCTATTTTCTCTCCTGCAAAACAGCAACACCTTGCGAGTGACTCGCTCAGCTGCCCCCAGCACCTTGGACGGCTCGACCTCCAGTGGGACTGCTCAGCTGGGGAAGAAGGGCAAGGAGTTTGACTTCTCACAGCTGCCCATGAAGGTGGAGCTGGTGGAATGCAGCGCCAGGGGCAGCAAGGCAGAGGAAGGCAGTGCTGACATTGATGACTTGGAGAAATGGCTGGCCAGGATTGCCTGAAAGCAGAGGGGGTTAGGGGTGGACGCAGAAACTAGCAAAGGGGAAACTAATGGTAAAGGCACTTAGCATCTGATGGGAAAGTACCGATGGGAAGGGGTGGGGCCCAAAATGTAATCTTGCTGTGGAAAGAACTTCAGGTATGCGCTGGCAGTAAATCCACTGTTACCTGCACTGGGCTGGGTTTTAATCAACCTATGAACATATTTGCCACTGTGATTTCAGTCAGTTGCAGTCCTTCCTATTCCCATGCTCCCCTTCTGGGAGGCTGCCCCTAGTGCTTGAGCTGCAGAGAGTTGGGGTAAGGAGCCTCTGGTTGTCCCAGGCAGCCTCCAAAAGATGGGAAGGTTATGTTTGGATAGCAGAAATTATTTCAAGATTGGACTGTGCAGCTGCTCCTGCTTTACCTTGGCATCTTGGCCCTCGTGCCCATGGTCTTTACTAACCTCCCTACTCATGGCATCTGATTTCTTCTCCCATTCCTGTCCTCTGTGATTTGGGCACAGTGAGTTTGTGATCTTTGTGCTGCCACAGCTAAAATGTCCAATTGCACATGCTACTGGGAAATCCCTGCCTGCTATGGAATGTACTAAAGCTGCTTTCATGGGTGTTGGCCAGCATCCCGCTATTTCCCCCCTTCCCACCTCCTTTTCAAAAGGAACACACAGCCAGATTGTCAGATGTGCTCCGCACCCCTAAGCACCGATATGGAAGTGACCAGATTGTCAGATATGCATAGTAGGGGCTGGAGGGTGCTGAGCATGTCTCATGATCTGGCCACTTTCATCTGGATGCCTAAGTGGTTGCTGAACTCTTGGAAAATCTGGCCCGGATAGTAAAGGTGGTTGATGATCGTTGTGTAAATGGGGGCTGCTGTTCTGTTTGGCTCTCGCCCAGTCTTTGGTGCTGATTCGCTTCTGCAGAGTGCACAATGCTAAGAAAACTCATGCATTCCTGTACATGACTTCTCAGTGGTGTACCGTTCTATAATGTGATCTTCATAAATGCACACAATAGTATTTGTAACACAAATGGTCGGTCGAGGTTAAACTTCTGGGAGGCCTGTATGCCTGGGTCTGAATATAACCCAGTTCTCCTTCCCCTGTGGGGCTCCAGCCTGAGTGCTGGATTCACCTCTCTCCACGTAGACATGCCCCAGCTTCAGCTCTGTTTTTTCTTGAGACAGAACAGCAGCTTGCTGGTGCTCAGGTTGTGCTCTGGAGCCACCTGTGCCTTTAGCATCAGGAGTGCAGCACCCATACTGAGGGAACGGAAACCAGAGCAATTGGAAGTGAACCTGACTAGCTAGATGGTGTGTCTCATATAGAGCCTTGGCTGCCTATCTTATGTGATGGTGCCCTAATCTCCTGGTGAAATCCTGGCTCCTTTTGAAGTCAGTGGGAGCTTTGCCATTGACTTCATGGGCCAGGAGTTCACCCTTGATCTTTAACTGGGGCAGGGTCTAGAATTGCAGCGGTCTCGCACAAATAATATGTATTAAAACCCCATTCAGGTGCATGTTTCGCCTGTGTTTTGTCTCCCAGTCTTTCGGTTAGGCCCTCTTCTTGCAAACGTACCCAAGTGGGCTCACTCAGTTCAGCACATTAGTAAGAGGTTTGAAGAACAGAACTGTCCCTATGTGGGATCTACATGCCCCTCTGACTCAGTGATGTCGTAAGCAGAGTTTGACATCAGGATTGTCCTAGAATGAATTGTGTTGTCACTTCAGTTGGACAAGGCCATAAAAAGAGAGAGGTAGGGGTTGACTTTTAAAGGCGTTTTTTGTTGTTTACAGATAGACAGTGATTGTCATAGGAGCCAGGAATACCTGCACAGAGGGCCTAAGAAGATCAGTTTACTGACCTGAGTGGGAGCAGTCATTCCAGTATAGGTGTTTCTGGTGAAGGTTCTTGATGACAAAGGGGAAAGCATTGAAAGTTTCTCAGCACTTGTTACATGTTTGTCCCCTGTAATGTTTAAAGCCAAGGGATCTGTTGTGGTTCCCAGATGCGGTGCCCTGTTGTGTGTTACATGTATGATGCTTAATTTTGCAAAGGAACAATTCTGTAGCAGTCTGCTTCTTCCTGCGGATGTACTCAGCCCATTGGGGTCTGGTCCAGGACCTGTCGGAGTCCTACTTTAGCACATGTTGGATCTGGTCTAAGAGCTCTTTCCAAAGGTGGAAAGAGTGAACTGACTGACCTTGGGAGTGATTCCGCAAACAAGCCAGCAGGGTGTTAGCAGCAGAAGGGGATGGGGGAGGAAGTGGTGGTTTTAATGGGCTGGCTGAGGAGATAACGCATCCTCTTGGTGACCTTTTCCAACAGTTTCCTTCACTCCCAGTGGGGGCTCTGGCAGTGAGCATTGTCTGTGCCTCCAGTGGAGTCTTCCCGCAGAGCTCACTGAGGGAATCCTTTGTGATGCTGGACTGCTCATCCTGCCTCTGCTTCCTTAATAGGAATCTTCTCTGCAAAGAGGTGCTCGCTGACCAGAGGCCACCTGCTGCTTTTTGTCTCCCAGGCAATAGGCTTGTGGTCTGCTGATTATTTCCTCCACACTGTATCTGCTGAAGAGAGCAGCTGCTGGTACCTGGGAAATGCCGTTGCTGCGTTTTTTTTGTGGCCGGATTTGGCATTATCTATAACCCAGCCGCTCTCTTGGTCTAGAGGGTGGGAGGGAGGTGGTGGCTGGTCCTCTTCTTGGCTATGTTGGTAAGAATTCAGTATTTGAACTTTGCTCCTGGTAAATCTTGTTCCCTCCCCTCCTTTCAGCCTGATGTTCTCTGTGGGCCCCTTCTTGCCATGTCAAGCAATACACCATGGCGTATCTTCTGTCAAAGGTTACATTCTGTATCCACATAGTCTTCTCTCTGACATCTGTACACTCTGCTGTCCTTAGCACTAATGCGTGTATAAAGCTATGCAGCAAGAGCAGATTGACTTGTGCTACTCCCGTCAATTGGAGCCAGGTGTTTGTTTGCAAACAGCATCTTTTCTTGAAGAGAAGTGAATGTCTGAGCTGGTCTTTGCATCCAAAACTGCCAAACCTGTGGGACTAGATGAATCTCTCTTAAAACTGTGTGACCAGCCCTGTTCCCTGTAGCAGCAGTTGGGAGGATTAAATATACTGCTAACACTTAGTGTAAGTGGAGGAGTGAGGGGGTGGCATGCTGAACTACCCCTCCTTTGCTTCCCCCTCCACCCTCCCCAGCCCAAACACCCCCCTACCCCTTCCCACGGCTCCCTCTTTGAGTTGGGAATGCTAAGACAGTATACTTTCCAACGCCTCTTTGGGAGACAGGTCCTTCCCAGGCTGCTCTGATTTTAAAACCTGTCCCTGGGCCTAGAGAGAAGCGAAGCAGGATGCTCATGTCACAAGCCCAAAGGCTCACAAATGATTTTTGTGTTAAGTATGTTGCACTCTTCAATTTCCAAGCATAAACTTTTCAGCAGCAGAAAGTTGCTAGAGGTACTGGTCACCAGTCACATTTTGAATTTAGTTAGCCAGGGCAAGGGTCTGATCTGGTCAGTCTGTACCTGCAATGCTGAAGCAAGGAATGAAGAACTTATGCTTTTTTTCCCCTTTGCTACTAGCAGCCTTCCTCTTGGGAAGCCCCAGGACCTAGGAGCCTGTGTTTGCTTTTAAATTATTCTCGGTAAATGTGGTCACTTAAATAAAGAAGTTTGGCTCTATGTTCTCAGTCCTCATTCAGTGCTGCAAGCAGCCATCTGTTGCTGTCCTTTCCTGGCTTCTCTTTTCACCAGGCCCACCAACTGGGCTAAGGCAGGCAGAATGTGGCAGCTCCGTAATAATAGGGCACTAAATAGCCCTTGAGCCAGGGGCATTTCTCTGAATGTCGGTTATTGGAAGGCTTGTTGCCCTCACAACAAATTTCACAAGATTTGTTCTGGCTCAGTGTTGTGAAACCGGGGCAAACCTGGCTCCTATTGATTGAGCTGAATTCAGTAAGAAATCAACTTATGCTAAATCATTAAGTGAGGCTTAAATCAAATTTGGTGTGTTTCCATGCACTTCATGTCTGTCCGTCCACTGCTTAACTGGCATTATTAAACTGCTTTTGGTCACACCAGCTTAACCTCCCTAGAGATACGGCCTTACTTGTGTCTCTGAGCCCTGGTGCCTTAGCAGTGGCCTTACAGCTGCGTCTGTGCCGTGGCACATCCCAGCCCCGTGACTTCGTTCCACTGAGCCAGCACAGGGAACCTGCTGTTGCTGCTCAGTTTCCTGTCGTGTCCTGCAGAGACACCTGCCCTGCCTCCTGCCGGTCTGGGAGTAGAGATGTTCCTTAGCTTGGTGCCCTCCATAGGCCCTTCCACCCATAAGGCTGGTGCACCGCTCTGTGATCATAGGCAGGAGGGACTGGAGGGGTGCTGCTTCAGTAAAGATAAGCAAGCTCCTGCCCTTCTCTCCCCAACTGCAGCCTCACTTTGGCTCCCTTCAAATCAGCTGCACTTAGTGCACATTTAAGGCAAACTTTCCCTGGGCATCCTAAGGTTGGGACTCTTCGGTTTCTGTCAGTGTGGCCGTACTTCCATGAGTGGCCTGCTTAATTAAAGCAGGGGCTATGGCAGACTTCTCCTGGGGCTGCTAATTGGTCTCTTCCTCCTCCACAGTGCATTACTTGCTAACTAATTACTTTGCTAAGTCTGTGGTGCAGGGAGGAATTGGTTCTGGAAGAGGGACGGCCCAGCAGCCAAGCAGCGGTTTAACATCATCACATCTTCCCCTGCATCAGGCTGGAGAAAGTTCTCCTTTCCCCAGGGGTGAGGTATGGGGAAAGTCTCCTCTGGCCTGCCAGGAATGAAGGGTCATAGGGTGTATCAGTAATGACCCTCACCACAGACCATCAGCAGGGCTACACCCCGCAGCTCCCAAAAAGCAAGTCTCTGCTGTCAGCAGTAGTAGGCTATTATGTGAACTAGCTGCTTAGGGGAACGCTGCAAACTTAACTAGTGGTTACCCCTCCTCCATGCTAGAAGCCAGGAAGTGCTATAAGAGACAATGGAAAGCCCTGTTCCCTGACTAGCCAGCAGATGAGATTCAGGGGATGGAGACCATGGCTTGGCATTTTCCCAGTGCAGTCACCTTAATGCTATTCCCAAGCCCCACCCAGCTGTTGGGGGAAAAGGGCACTGCACTCACTTTGTCCCTGTCGAGCTGGCTGGAAGAGGTGGTTTCAAATCACGACTGCTTTCAGGAGATGGACAAGATGGGCTCAGGGTGTCCTGGGAATTTATACTGCTGGTCCTTGGGCAGTTCACCTAGCTGAGCAGCAGACAGGGTGAAGATGGAAAGAAATGCCACAAATTTCCATTCTGTTTTTAATAACCAGGCTAATTGCTTGGATTAAGCAACTGCCCATGAAGTGTGTGATTTAGGGGGGAGCGCAGTGTGTGCAGAACTCTGCTACGACCAGGAGGGCAAAAGCCCTGTAGATGCTCAGAGCGTGTAGCTCCTAGCCAAGCTGTGATGTGTCTTTCCATCCTGCTGGCACTATCCATGAGTGCTGCTGTCAGAGAGAAGCTATTTTCATTTGGTCTTAGCCATATGGGTGAGCTGTGATGTGTAGGAGAGCTGTACAGCGGTGCAAAATGGCCAATGGGAGCTATGGGGGCAGTGCCTGGGGGCAGCAGTGTGTGGAGATCCTACCCCCCCCCCCCGCCCGCCTGGGAGCTGCTGCCAGAGAGGTTTGTGGGTTGCTTTCAGTGGTCAAGCACCTCACCCCCTCCTGCACCCCAGTGCCCTTGCCCCAGCCCAGAGCCTGCAGCCACCACCCAAACTCCCTCCCAGAGCCTTAGGCAGGTGGGGGGCGAGGAGGGGTGGGACTTGGACCCATTCTGGGCACCACCAAAAATTATACAAACCTGCTACCCCTGCCCAATATCAAGTGGTACCAAAATATCCCGATATCAAGGATGGTACAAAAACATTTCCCAAGGGTAATAGAAACACACTAACCTCTCCTAAAAGATAAGGTCAGGATAACAGTGTGTAATAGAGATGTTTTAATCAAACCAACATGTACAAGGTGGGTAATAACTAGCCACGTCAGGGGGCAGTAACTATGTCAGAGGTGCAGTACATAACTTGTTTGTATGGGGGTATAAAAATGTATCTCAGAGGAAGCGTCTTTGTCTAGCCTAGGGAGGAACGGAAAGTCCCGCCAGTCACTGAGCTGGTCCATTGTTCTGGGCATACATGTATTAGAGATCCACTAGAGTCTGCGGGATACTACTAGCGTGCTTTGTCGACAATAAACCTGGCGTGGTGCCTTCGTACCCTGACATCTTGTGGTCATTGGACAGTTTGCTCGAAGTCTGCTATGCCACCTGTCTGCTCAGAGCAGGGGCAGCACACAGGAAGAACACAAAAAATACACACACACAGCCGAACATCTAACCACGCAGCTGTCAACCTCAAGTCCTGTAACCCTCTCCCCCCCCCCCCCGGGTTCCCCCAGCGAAATTCCCTTCTCTTCAAATTCCCCCCAGGCAGATCTCCATCAGCCCCTGTCAAAACTTAGTTCGCTCTGAGTCCGTAATTACTTAAATTAAGCCTGTTAAAGCTTAAAATAAAATCCTATGAAAAGCAGAAATTTGCATGTAGGGGCAACACCCGAGTCAGAGCCCAGCTTAACTGTGCAGGGAAGACAGACCTGTAGGTTTTGTCTACCCTTAACACGCTACAGTGGTGCTGCTGCAGTGCTTCAGCGGAGACAGTACAACAATGGGAGGGGTTTTCCCATCACTGCAGCTAATCCACCTCCCCGAGAGGCAGTAGCTAGGGTGATGGAAGAAATCTTCCAGTGGGGTTAGGGCACCTTACTTCGGTCTCTTGAGGTGCGGATCTTTCACATCCCCAAGAGACGCAGCCATGCTGATGTAAGTTTTCAGTGTGGACCACCCCGTTGATCTTACAACTGAAACAGACAAAAAATGGGAGGAGAAATAGGAGCCCAGGGAGGTCAAGTGACCAGCCCGAAGTCACCCAGCAGGCCAGTACAAGACTGTTTATTACTCATTTTGGACAATGAGTTTTCTTCCAAATGCCTCCAGCGCTCCCTTTCTCCCCACCCCACCCCACCCCCTCCACCGCCCCAAGCCTCTCAGGTTGTGTTGCAGCTGCTCCACAGGAAGTCAAACCTTCCCCAACATTAACATCCATTGTAAAAAACAACTGCAGCAGCACAAAAGGATAACTGCACATACCTAGACAGCATGGAAATCTACAAAATGCCATAGCTATATATCAATTACAACACCCAGGCTGTCATCTGCATTGAGGGTTATGGTGGGAGGCAGGGAATGGAGGGAGATGCTAAATGGATGGCTAAATAATGTTACACAAACTGACAAAAGCCAGGAACTTCAATGTTAATTCTTCAGTGCCAAGAGCCGAAACTTCCTGGTGGAACTGTCTCCGTTGGAAAATGTGAAACTGATGATGACAGAACTACAGTTAAAGGGACAGAACTTAATAATCACGCTGCTGTCTGATTTCCCCCCTCCCCCTTCCTTACTATGGTTACAAGTCTCCTCTTAAAGTCCTAGACATGAAAGAGATGAGAGAAGGAATAGTTACTGTTGAATTTGAGAGCAGTTGGCACAGAGCATGCTGCTGCCTCCCACGAACAGTCAATTTCCTCGGTTGTTTGTATGAGTCTTTTATACAGCAATAGGAGAAACCAGTTAACAAGTTTCATTCAAACCTTTTTTTCCCCAGGGAAAAGGTTTCTTTAGATATTTTCCATTTAAGTGGGAAAAAATATTTCAAAGACAAAAGGGTTTAATTTCTTTTAAATTTTGCATGTGGAGGAGAATGATCATTTTCAGACCAGTTTAAGCTACAGAAGATCAAGGAACTTGTTTTAAAAAAGCAAATGCAAATGAAACTTGTGGAATAACTTGCCCATCAAGAAGGATTCTTCTGAATGCTATAGCTAGCTAGAAGATAGCGTATACTAAAGCATCAGGCCATTCTTATTCAGGTGCCTAGTGTTAGAATCAGAGATTTTTGGTCCAAAAGGGACAGTTTTAGATCATCTAGTCAGACCTCCTATATAACAAAGGTCATAGAATGTAACCCAGTTCCTCCTGCACTGAGCCCAATAAGTTGTGTTTAACTAAAGCATCTTCCAGACAGGCACCTGAATTGGAAAATGATAACCTCCATTCTTTGCTTTCTGTTTGCAGTAACAACTTTTTTTAAAAGGAATAAAGTGGAGTAATATTTATCCATCTGACAGCACATTCCTTTAGGCAAAGACACTTTTATAGAAGATTACAAAGCAAATCTTTTATCCAAGCAAGTGGAAAAGCTCTGAATGGAGCCACGCTTGTCTATCAGCTACACAGGTGCTCACGTGCGGGTTTCTAAAAGGAAGCCTCTTCTAAAAGAGCTATCTGAGCAATAAATGAACATATTCCTCCATGTGCTAAGGTCCTACACAGGACATGGGGCTTGTCTACACTGGCCCTTTACAGCACTGCAACTTTCTTGCTCGGGAGTGTGAAAAAACACCCCCCTGAACGCTGCAAGTTTCAGTGCAGTAACGTGCCAATATAGACAGTGCACCAGCGCAGGGACCCGTGCTCCTAGCACTGGTAGCTACGCCCCTCGTGGAGGTGGGCAGCGCTTTAATGTTGCTTGTGAAGTCGTGCCTAGCTCTGGTCTACACTACGAGTTTAGGTGGAATTTAGCAGCGTTAGATCGATTTAACCCTGCACCCGTCCAAACGACGAAGCCATTTTTGTCAACTTAAAGGGCTCTTAAAATCGATTTCTGTACGAGGGGATTAGCGCCGAAATCGACATCGCCAGGTCGAATTTGGGGTAGTGTGGACACAGGTCGACAGAATTGGCCTGCGGGAGCTATCCCAGAGTGCTCCACTGTGACAGCTCTGGACAGCACTTTCAACTCCGATGCACTAGCCAGGTACACAGGAAAAGCCCTGGGGAAATTTTGAATTTCATTTCCTGTTTGGTCAGTGTGGCAAGCTCAGCAGCACAGGTGACCATGCAGTCCCAGAATCGCAAACCGAACAGGAGGTACTGGATCTGATTGCTGTATGGGGAGACAAATCCGTGCTATCAGAACTCCGTTCCAAAAGACAAAATGCCAAAATATTTGCAAAAATCTCCAAGGGCATGATGGACAGAGGCTACAACTGGGACCTGCAGCAGTGCTGTGTGAAAATTAAGGAGCTCAGGCAAGCCTACCAAAAAACCAGAGGCAAACAGCCACTCTGGGTCACAGCCCCGGATATGCTTCTGTGATGAGCTGCATGCAATTATGGGGAGTGGCCCCTACCACTACCCCATCCCTGTCTGTGGACACATAGAATCATAGAATCATAGAATATCAGGGTTGGAAGGGACCCCAGAAGGTCATCTAGTCCAACCCCCTGCTCAAAGCAGGACCAATTCCCAGTTAAATCATCCCAGCCAGGGCTTTGTCAAGCCTGACCTTAAAAACCTCTAAGGAAGGAGATTCTACCACCTCCCTAGGTAACGCATTCCAGTGTTTCACCACCCTCTTAGTGAAAAAGTTTTTCCTAATATCCAATCTAAACCTCCCCCACTGCAACTTGAGACCATTACTCCTCGTTCTGTCACCTGCTACCATTGAGAACAGTCTAGAGCCATCCTCTTTGGAACCCCCTTTCAGGTAGTTGAAAGCAGCTATCAAATCCCCCCTCATTCTTCTCTTCTGCAGGCTAAACAATCCCAGCTCCCTCAGCCTCTCCTCATAACTCATGTGTTCCAGTCCCCTAATCATTTTTGTTGCCCTTCGCTGGACTCTTTCCAATTTATCCACATCCTTCTTGTAGTGTGGGGCCCAAAACTGGACACAGTACTCCAGATGAGGCCTCACCAATGTCGAATAGAGGGGAACGATCACGTCCCTCGATCTGCTCGCTATGCCCCTACTTATACATCCCAAAATGCCATTGGCCTTCTTGGCAACAAGGGCACACTGCTGACTCATATCCAGCTTCTCGTCCACTGTCACCCCTAGGTCCTTTTCCGCAGAACTGCTGCCTAGCCATTCGGTCCCTAGTCTGTAGCTGTGCATTGGGTTCTTCCGTCCTAAGTGCAGGACCCTGCACTTATCCTTATTGAACCTCATCAGATTTCTTTTGGCCCAATCCTCCAATTTGTCTAGGTCTTTCTGTATCCTATCCCTCCCCTCCAGCGTATCTACCACTCCTCCCAGTTTAGTATCATCCGCAAATTTGCTGAGAGTGCAATCCACACCATCCTCCAGATCATTTATGAAGATATTGAACAAAACCGGCCCCAGGACCGACCCTTGGGGTACTCCACTTGATACCGGCTGCCAACTAGATATGGAGCCATTTATCACTACCCGTTGAGCCCGACAATCTAGCCAGCTTTCTACCCACCTTGTAGGGTACACCTTGTAGGGGACACCTGCAAGGGGGGAGTCTCATGCAATAGGGATGAGGATTTTGGGGACGAGGAAGATGATGATGATGAGGAGGATAGCACACAGCAGGCAAGTGGAGAAACCGTTCTCCCCGACAGCCAGGAACTGTTTATCACCCTGGAGCCAATACCCTCCCAAGGCAGGCTCCTGGACCATGAAGATGGAAAAGGCACCTCTGGTGAGTGTACTTTTGTAAATATAATACACGGTTTAAAAGCAAGCGTGTTTAATGGTGGAATTTTCCCTGAAGACTTGGGATGCATTCGCGGCTAGTACAGCTACTGGAAAAGTCTGTTAACATGTCTGGGGATAGAACGGAAATCCTCCAGGGACATCTCTGTGAAGCTCTCCTGGAGGTACTCCCAAAGCCTTTGCAAAAGGTTTCTGGGGAGGGCAGCCTTATTCCATCCTCCATGGTAGGACACTTTACCACAGCACGCCAGCAGCATGTAGTCTGGAATCATTGCATAACAATGCTCGGCAGCGTATGATCCCGGTGTGTGCTGGCATTCAAGCAACATCCGTTTTTATCTCTCTGTGTTATCCTCACGAGAGCGAGCATCCCAGAGAATTGGGGGGGGGGGGGGTTTCCTGTGTTTAACCCGAAAACCACAGCCCCTCCTTTTAAATGGCCAACTCAACGGGTGTTGCTGTTTGAAACCATTCCCACATGTTATGAAGGTTGAAGAAACCGAAAGACTGTGGCTTACCATGGCTGCCTGCAAGCTGAATTCTGTTGCCCGGCCCTGCGTGTGTGATCTCTCACACCAAACTGCCAGGCCCTCAATATAAGAGGCAAAATGCGATCTTGTACCGAAAGCACATGTGATATGTA